TTAACCTATCGGGGTCTTATGTGGTTCGTCTCTCCAAGTTTCGGGGCTTAGGTTTTCAGTTTCAACCACTGAACAGCAGGTCCTCGTGACAATGGGTTTCGCCCCGTCTGCCGTTCACCACACTCACGTGTGTAATAAAAAAGATTGCTCTTAATTCCATACAAATTTACCGAACCTGGTATGAAAAAATTCCTTAGGACTCGAAAAGAACAATGTAGTTCAACAAATGTGCATGATTACATGATTGCATTTATGTTCAAAACACATCTTTCTAACTATGCAAAACTTCAACTTTAGACCTACGCTTGTTAGAGGTTGGTCATTTCAAGCATATGGTTTACCAGGGTGGAAAGGGGAGAGTAAATGACGTTGCACGTGAGTTTCTTGTACGGCATTGTCTTGGCTGTTGCACGACCAGGTTTTCTTCACTGCGACTGGTGGCTCAGGTGAAATCATGCTATCGCACACAACCAGCATTGGATGGTAAAGTGTGTGAAGCTGAGTTTCCCTTTTGGACACAAAGCTGTTCCTTTTGGAATTTCCACGTCTACGTGTGTCTTGCATATATCGCACACCAAATGCGAGTATCGAGTATCCGAATATAGCGAGGACTCATTTGAATCAATTCCTCTTTTGAATTGTTTTCGGGAAGAAAGAGTTCTTTCTTCCAACTGTTTGACCTCCCAACTTGGGATGAGTTTCTTACGATAATGGATGATATACTTCTTGATTATGCTTGAGAAACTGGAGATTTGATTCGCACCCTATTAGTGATGGTTACATTCGATGTTGGCTAGAAGTTTTGGTGTCTCGCATCCTTTGCCGTTTTTGATATCAATTCGGCTATTGATTACCTCTGATTATATTTCGAAGCAGCCGGATCAGCGTTACTGTAGATAGCAAGTTACGAGAATACGTTTTTTATGTTTCTGCTTTTTAGCATTACAGAGGTTAGGTAGAAAGTCATAAATATGTGAAAAAGTATACATATGACTGGGATTCAGTTGGTTGTTTTGGGTATGTAGTACGTACCTTGATCTGACTACCAGTAAGACTGATATTGACGGATACGGGGCAGTTAGATGGTGAGCTAAAGCCGATGGACTTGCAATTCATTTGGAAGACACCCTGTATCCTTCGATAAGAGTGCACCGTTGATTCAGTCCAGGGGTTATTGCAATTTCGCCTTTCCTGCCGCAGATGGTGCTCCAAATAATCTTCCTTAAGCCACCGAAAATTCGATCGCGTTTTTTTCGGTAAACTTTCAATCGTGTCTTACTATAACACAATAGTGAACTGCAAGTAAGTAATGTCTTCCTTATGACAGCCCTTTGATTAGCCCCATCTCCCTTCCGGAAATTTACATCAATGTGTATTCAAGAAGAAGAATTAAAAATGAAACAAGGAGAAAACTGCCGCCTAGAACTGGCTATTTCGCCCTTTGTTATTCATTTACGTTGAGGGCATTATCTTTACTAATTTTATGGCTAAGCATATCGAGAAGGACACAATAAGTAATTTTTACCTGAACCGTGATATAACGCAGACGACTACTGCTCAGCATTGGCAATAAGATAGTCACTAATTTCTAGGCTTCAGTATGGTATATGCTTATAAAATTGTCCGCGTCAATGATAGTCCCATTTAAATGCTATCGGTTATTTTATTTCTATAACGTTCCCCTTTTCTTCGATGCCCGTAATTCCAGGTGCAGTGGATGAACACAACTCCACAATTCATGAACAGCATGTACAAACCGCTCAGTTCAGTCCGTATAGGATCTAATATCATCTCTGTCCTTTGCCTGTTCGGGATTTATATGACCTCAATTTTGGGAACACATTCAACACCAAACGAAGGAGGCCGTACTTCAGCCGACCGTACAGCACGGAGTCTGACTCATGCACCTGCTTTGAATTATGAAATTCAAGAAGAATCTCCAAGAGCCACATTTGTCGGTAATGTGGGTCGTGATATTTTGGATTTGATTTCCACCAGTTCGTCCGGTCGTTCTGGGAGTCCCACCCAATCGGATCAAATTGATCTGACAATCACCAATTGGCGTGATCGTGCTGTACAACTATTTCTACTGGATCCAGCTTCCGGACAACTCCGTTTAGCCTCCCCACCTGACCGCGAGGTCCTGTGTCCGGCCTCAGGAAATAGCAATGGTAATTTCCAGCCAACGTATCTACACTCCTCACACGATTCAGAGAAGGCAACCTATTCAAATGATGACTATACGGTGATCCGTGGACAAGTGAACCCATCACACCCGTGCTATGTGGATATAAAGATTGCTTATACCTTACGTCACACCAAAGCAACGACATCCGATGCAGTTGTTGTGGATCCGCGAACCACGACAAATGACCCAGGATTGATCACAGTACGGATTCGAGTGCTGGATATTAACGATCACACTCCGGTGTTTCCACAATCCCGAGTCAGCAGCGAATTGGGTGAACTGAGTGCACTGCCCGAGAAGACTGTGATCGATCTACCCACCGCATTTGACCCGGATGCTGGTGAGAATGGCACAATCAGCTATTGGGTTGTGGAACGGGCCATGAGCTCCAGCTCATTGGGTAGATCATTTGAAACGGCCGCATCAAACAAACTGGATACAGGGTCGGGGGAATTAGATATTCCATTTCGACTGGCCGGAGATCCGCTTCGCCTTATTCTCACGCGAAATTTGGACTGGGAAACCAAACGGGAATACGATTTGATCGTGTACGCCAAAGATTACGGTCGACCCCAATCCCTAACGGGTCATTTGAACGTGCATGTAACCGTACGAGATGAAAATGACAATGTACCCCAGTTCTCACAGAACAGCTACATGGCTGTGATCAACGAGAGCGTGCTTCGTGGCACAATTATCATGGAATTGACAGCCAGTGATGCGGATAGTACAACCAACGGACAAGTGAGTGCGCTGAAAATGTGATGCTTTTCAGTTTGTTCAGGTTTCTCCCCTAGAAAAACACCAGTTGTTCAACGTCCCAGTGAAAAAACCCTACATTATGGGCAGGATTTTAACTGCGCTTGTCGGTCAATCATTTTAAAATGGTATTTGCGTAAATTATTCTAACTAGTCTCTGTTTCTCTATTGTTCTTATTCTTTTGTAAATCCTGAGGTCACCCAACAAGTCCGGTAAACACTGTGCAAAACAAAATAGTCCTTCTGAATAGGTCCTATTTCCATGCGTAGCCTTATTATCAACTCTATTGGTTAAACAATTAGCATTTCACGGGAAGTCATCCGTTCATGCAGTGCGCTTTGGTCTTTATATTGTGGGCGAATGATTTGTGGTTGAAAATGTGTCAATCACTGGTGAATATATATCTACTTGGGATTCAATTTCAGCACTGGTATTTTGTTAGCTTTGGTAATCATATGAACATTGGTTAAAATTCCTTATCTTTTGAACGTTATTTCCTTTCTAAAACGGTTTGCCGATAGAATAGATTTCATTTTTCGAAAGTAGGCATGTTTCCTTTAGCAAAAAGAGATTTTACGGAGCGACGGTACTAATTGCACACCATTACTCGGGAAAAATAAAGAGAAAAACATTGGTAGCGCCCTGCAGGTGTTTCCCTCCAAATGGTTGCTATCTACACATTGACTATAGATTGATCGAGGTCATTTGTGCACACAAGAGCAACAAGGAGTCTTTTGACACAGGTGATTATGATTAACAACGCTACTATCTGATGATGTAATCCGATTAAAATACGCTCATTGGATTCCATTGGTGACAGCTTTATTACTGTCTAGATTTTTCTTTGTCCCAAAACCAATCGCAAATGCATTCAGTCAATCATATCTGGTCTGGCGTCTACTGGGCACAACGAGATAAAATGTCACTATTCAGTGACCGCTTTCTGGATCTGGACCACGCATGAAAATAAAAAATCCTCAAAAACGGAATTCAGATAGAGTTGTGAGCGGAAACGTTTCTCTTGGTGGAAAGTCTGATTAACGTGTCCGAATTAGACAACTGACACAAACTAAACAGACACTACTGAATTGGAATTTCTGCACTGGTCGACAAAGATCCCTTACTTTCTTTGGCGCTCAATCCAGAGACTCATTCACTGTTCGCGTCCTGGTAGAGTAGCAAATGGTGCACACTGCTGACCGGTCCAAATGTGAAATGGAAACAGCTGTTTCGTGCTCTGTGTCGGCCATCACGTACAGAAAAAATCTATTACGAGTAAATTACAGAGAAACATATGGGGAACACAAGAACTTTTAAAAGATGAGATTAGTACAAAATTTCACCCAAAATGGATTCCGTGGATAAATAGAAGCGAAGCACAAAAGCGCCCAGTTCACTTGATGACTATTATTCCTTATTGTCTTGGTCGTTTCCACACAATTAACCATTGCGCATGGCGAACTTCTGTTTAAAAAAAATACAACCACTGATTGTATATACAGCTCTAATCGAAACTGATACAACGGGCCCCTGTGAAACACTAGTGGTTTCGTCTAGGCACCAGCATTAATACTGAAGTAAATTATTTTCAAAATAATGATAAACAAGCCTTGGCGAATCGTTACAGCAGTGGTTTCGTGATTCATTTATACTCAGCAGATGGAATGGTTCAGAATGTAGCGGACAAGCCTACTTCTTCAGTAATGGTTTACCTAGATCACGATGAGTTAAGAGTTAACTAAAGAGAATAAAACAATTTTTATTTACAAGAAATTAACATTGATTATAATTAAGATGTACAGTTTATATGCACTAATAATCGATTGGTCTGCCTTTGTTCTTTAGGACTTTTTCGAGTCTCTTCGGCATCGAATCCACCCAGTTTGTTATGAAGTCGTTTTCTACTTTGTGCTCCATTACGTATCGCACTTTTGCCTCCAATGTCCAATGTACAGGAAACACATTACTCTCTCTATTCAAAACGGAACGCATATTTTCAATCACATTGATATCCGAGATATTAAGGGGAAGTTGCACGAACTGGACTTCACAGTCACGAATCTTTTCCGAAGTTTAAAAGCAAATAATAAGTGAATCAATCTGCTTAACCAAGGAAATTTGCTAACCCCTCGTGAAACATGTCACCGAGCGTTATCCTGAAAAGCAATAACTTTTCCAAAAGATTATTTTCATAAAAGTCTGGGAACATTTTTGTCATTACTAACACGAATTTCCCACTATTCATGATGCCCTTGACTGATGTCCACCGACAAGGCTGATATGTTTTATTTCTGCCCAGATGAGTGGTTTCAACGGGTGAGAAACTCTCCCATTTGGTGTAAAACGTCCTATTGGGAAAGTCTCCCCACCTTAATTTGAAGGTTGACTTTGATGAAAATGGTATTTCAAAAGTAGTGAGTTAGCTATCAAACAAAGATTATTAATATGAACAGTGTACATTTTAACTGAAATGTAAGCATAAATGCTTACACAAGTTATACAAATACAAATACAAAACTTACTCAATGCATTTTCTTCGGGCTGTGAAAGAATTTCATTTGGTAATTCAAAAGAGTTGCTATATTGTATTATATGTCATAGCAAACAACGGAGATGACAAGGGTTTATGGAAATAATTTGGGATAATTCTTAAGTCATTCCTATTAGAGTATATTGCGTTTTCATACTTGATAAATTTTGCAATTTGCATGTTGAGATTATTTAATCTTGGAAACCAAGGTCAGGCAGGTTTGTCAGTCATGCAGCCTAGAAACTACGTAAATCGAAGTAAACAAAAGATAAATTATTATCCATACCTAAGGTATTGATATGGGTGATAAACATAATGAAACTCAATTTTATCAGAACGAAAATACTGTATTGCATCACAATCGGCCAGTACTATAATAACAGATTATTGTCAATGCCTTCTGTATACCAGGTGATCTCGCTAATAATGACTGCACCAAGAAGATAGAAATATTAACATTTGACGCTGGGACTAAGTTCATCTACATGCCTGGGATATGATTCGAGTTTACTGCTTATTATCTCATTTTCCTTTTCAATGTTTTGGGATATGTTATATATATTTGATTATTTATTTAGTTATTATTGTACGTTTTTCATAAATTTGACCAAAAGGAGCAAAAACGACAGTGATATCAGGAGGTTTAGTCACGCGGTATATTGTTTTGTGTTCCGTAGCTCCACTATTTTCACTTTGGTACTTTCTGGTTGGTCCGTTTATGGTTAAATTGCCCATTAATCGCTCATTATCTTCATACCTATGTCCTAACTCCTATGTTGTCCAGTAACCATTCTCGTAGGCTCTCTTTATATGTGTTTGTTTGCGTTTCTGAGCACTCACGACCGCCCATTTTGTGAGAGCTTATTTTAACCCAGTTGGAGCTGGGTTACCTGCTGAATGAATCAGGAATTGAAGGAAATTTAAGAGTGACATAGCTGCTCGCTCTTTTGCGCTCTCTGGCTCTTCACGTCCTACTTGTTCCGACTAAGTTCGTCATCTCTGACGGCGTTCCACTTCATTAGATTCAATCGATACTTGTGTACGATATCTCGCTCGCTGTGTGTTAACAGACGATGTACCGCCAGGTGACCAGCATTTTAGCTCAGTTGTTTTACCCCAATGTGAACGGTGCTGAAAACGCGTGGCCGCTTTCCTCGCGTGATTAACATAAAACCGGTGGGCAAGATAGCTGACAAGAGGTTTAAAAATCCTCAACCGGTTATAGTAAAATTTTAGCTCAGTTTATCGATACGACCGGCCAGCAACAAGCATTGCCCAATTCCCTTGTTTTATGATTTCGGGCATTTGCAGTGTCAATCCTGTTGACTGTCCTGCTTTCTTTCCTGAAACAGTTGCATGTCAGAACTTAAGAACAGAGGAATGGGACTTTTCGGTACAAAGTAAAGGCCCTTATTGTATGCATGTCTTAACCAGTGACGATGAAGGTTATGTTCGACCGGCGTATAAATTATTCAAGAACAATGCGTACATAGGATTTGAACGTTGTATCAGTTCTAGAGCAAACATATCAACCGTTATTGGGCAAAGTTCTGCCTTGCACTTTGGAATCTTAAGTCGATTGAGTTTTATTACAAAGCATTTGGTTAATATACTGATATAACCGTGATTTGGTTCTGTTCAAAGTAAACACCTTTATCACAGTACAATATTTTTAATTTTAATCTCCTCAGTCAGTAAAACAATCTGATACTTCTACAATCAAGTTTTCATAACGTCAATGGTTCAACGGACAGTAATTTGGGTAGAGGGTGGAGGAATCAGTTCCACGGGAGTGCTTTGGTGCACACAAGATTGGGTTACGTAAGTTGGGTAGCATCGCCTCGCTAAAAGCGAAGATCCTGGGATTCGTATTACGTATTAACGGCTTGAATGACAAATGTGGATCAACGATGTGTCCGGTTGTCATGACATGTTTTGCGATTGATGACCCTGGATTTCTCTTGTCAGATTGACCTCTAAGACTGTGTTGCGTCATTGATTGTACCAATCACTTGAGGATGTGTTCAGGCATCCGGTGTGAGAGGGGCTGATTCGTTCTGCAGATGTAAGTGTCACCGCAACTACAGGTGAACTGGTGGACGACATGTGAAGCAGAATTGTGCGACTGGTTCTGTTTTCGATTGTCCACAGGAATTCCTTGGGTATCCATCGAAGCTGCGCGGCAGGATGAGTTCGACATAATGCCATCTTGAGCTTTTGACGCATGTCGTTCATGATATGATCACCGCTGAGGGCGAGTCTGAGGAAGACACTTTTCTTCGGTACTTCGCAGACGGGACCAATCGGTGACCCTCATCTGCTATACCAATCAATAAATCTCTCTGGATAACCATTGATCAGTAGCGTCTTTCACCGAAAGGCCTCTTCCTCTTGAAGTGTCAGGGAAGCACATACTCCTGACACGATGGAACAGAGTCTTCATCAGACCTCTTTTTTATGCCACAGGAGTGAAAC